GTAGTAGTATTAGTATTTAGAATATATAGAAAGTTATATTTATTTATATAGTTTACTATAAACTTTATAGTAAAAGTATATTATAGTTAGGTAATAATATAACTATTTAAACTAAAAGTAAATACCTAGACTACTAAGTAACTATATATAATGTAAAGGGGGAGAATTATAATAGGCTACGGCTATACTATAAAAGAACGTAATTATATCACGTGCTTATATTACATGCCGATATTATACCGCTTAATGAATACTTACTTATCTAAAGAGTAGAGAAGTAAGGTATAAAGAGAGAGGTGTCGTACGACATCTTAACTCTTCTTATCTTTCTTCTTCTATACTATAGGCTAATATAAACTCGTAAGAAGGTCTCTTTGCCTATAATAATATATACTATCTAGCAGCCTATATATACCTCCACAGTGGACTTAATACTAACGTGCGGGATTAGTAAGCTGGAAAGATTAGTAAGCTGAACGCCCTACTTAACCTAACGCAACGCTCTGCGTAATTGCTCTACAATAACGTAATAATATTAGATAGAAATAAGAGATGTTATTCTTTATTTAGCTCTATATGAAGTCTAAGTATGTTCTTAAATATAGCACTTCGTGCACGTTAGCGGCGCGTGCTAGCGTCGCTCGCTAGTCTAGTTCTAGTTACCTTCTTGTTAGACTGTGAGGGGTTTTTAATTAAGGATTGATTTGTATTACTGTGATAAAAAGCTATGATAATTAATGGAAGAAATTAATAATATTGATTTCTCTGTCTGCCCTCTAGCGGCGCGAAGGCGCGCCGCCTTATAAGCGCTATCGCTATTGTTTTTTATATTAGGTAGGCGGCTAAGTATTAGCCTTATCTAGAGGTGGGCCTTAGCACTTAGCTCTAATCGGCCTGGATTACAGAACCTAGTTACTTAATTACACTTGAATACTATTACTTATCTAATATACTCTCTTAGCTTAGAGCTAATTAGGATTATAAGCTAGACTATTAGTTAGTTAGATCGCTAGACGTTTAATTTAATTCTAGATCTTAAGCAGAGCTACTTCTTAGATTGCTTCTTAAGTCCTGCTCTCTTCTAGCCCTAGCTGAGTTAGAAATCATTACCACTAGTTTACTAAGAGAGCTTTAGTAAGTCCGTCTACTATTATTTCTAATAATTAGGTGTAAGTGACTTTAATCCGTCTACTAGCGACTTCTTATCTTAGCTAGTAGTTATAGATATCTACGTATTAAAGCTTAGTTTAGAGTCTTAATATTTCCTAGGTAACTAGCTGGATAGTTTACTAGTTATCGTACTAGATTTTAATCTAATCTAATAAGTTAATTTTAAGTTCTTTAATTAGTCTTAATATAAAAATAGCTTTCTTAGCTACTTAGGATAGAGCTAGAAGCTTAGTTTTAGTAGTGGACGTAGTAACTATATCTTACTTACTAGCTCGCTAAGTAATTAGTCTACTAAATAGCTTAATCGTGTAGCCTTAGGAGCTTTTGCGATCTAGCGTATTATTAGTAAATAATACGTTACTAGCTACTTAGTCTCTTTAAGGTAGAGTAGTACTTAATCCGCAGCTCTCTAGTGTTCTTAGCTAGAATTTAAGAGAAATCTAGCTAGCCAGGACGTTAAAAAAGCAATATCCGGCCTAGTATTAACTACTACGTAGAGTAGGGATCTAATCTTACGTTGATATTTATTAATTTCTATTAGAGTAGCTAGCCCGTCTTAGAGCTTTAGCTTAGCACTACCTATTAGAGTATCGTGTTAGATAGTCTAATTCTTAACTAGTTAGCTAATCTTCTTACAGTACGTACTTTAGAATAGGTAGATAAGTTGATTTTCTTAATCTCTTCTTACTTTAATCTTAAGAAACTACTAGATATCGTCTCTACTAGTTATTAAGTAAGTCTTTTTAAGATCTTCTACTAGTGTGCTAGCCTTAAGTTATTAGTTTTAATTATAGGCTATATTAAAGTTATCTACGTAGAAGAAGATTAGAGTATTATCCTTAATTATATAGTATAGCTCGTGGGGTATAGTCTAAAACCTAAGTTTAGTAAGCGTTACTATAAAGTCTCGTTACTATAACGCTAGCGATATCTATAGCCTAAAGAGTACTTTTTAGAGCTTAAGTATAGTACCTAGCTTCTAATATCTATAGAGTATATGTATATATACTTCTCTATTAAGTTAGGCGTACACGAACGCGTTAGTAACGTTAAACTACTTAACTTTAAGATTATATTTAGCAGTAATTACTATAAATAAATGGAAAGACTGTTTAGCTAAAGTAGCAGCGTAGATATCTTAAGAAGTAATATTCTGCTACTAATCGCCTCTAACTACTAGTCGTGCCTTATACTTAAGAAACTAGTTTTCTTAATTAAATTTATAGGTAAATACCTATATATAGTCTAGGATCTAATATTCGCTTACCTTTACTACTTTATATAGTACTTCTACTTATAAGTTTATAATCTTATAGCTATTAAGATAAACGCGTTAGGCTTCTTTAAATAGCTCGCCTATTAGATACTAATTAAGATCTAATCTAGCTATTAGCGGCTTAGGGAGTTGCGATTAATAGACTTTAACTTCTCTAGTAAGTAGCTATCTTAGCTATACCTTATTAATCGCGCTACTATTATAATCTCTAATACTTCCGGCTTCTATTCTAGCTATAAAAGCTGCGGCCTATAGAACTATCTTTAATAACTAGATTTCTAGAGCACCTACTACTTCTCTACTTATAAGCTAAGCTAGTAGTGCTACTAGTAGTAGAGTAGCTAGAGGCGTTAGATAGTACTCCTAAATCTTTCTTCCTCTATAGTAGCCTAGTAGATCTTCTAATTTATTAATTTCTTCTATTATATTAATAGTGTTATCTGTATAAAATAACTCTGTTCAAGTATCTAGAATTAGTAGTAGAAGCTTAATAGTCCTAATATATACTATAATCTCCAATAGAGTACTATATATAAGGTTATCTATTAGGTCTTTAATTTTTCTATTAAATATTATATCTTCGTTAAAGATTATATCTCTAGTACTAATAACTTTAGCTAGTAACGAGATCTAGATCTAATAGATAGTTAACGCCTAATATCTAACTAGATAGCTAATCTATACTTTAGAATTAAACCTCTATAGTCTTAATTTACTGCGGTAAGTATTATTAGTTATTACGAATGCCTTACACCTATATACCTTAAAGTAAGCTAATCTAGGCTTCTTTAGTATTGTAGCTATCTTACTAGCCTAGAATATATAAGTAAAGAAGACTTTATAGAGTGTCTTCTACTAATTAATATAGTTTAGCGTTTAATTATAAAGGTATACTACGGCTCTTATAACTTCTAGCTAGAGTTCCTACAGTAGATTAGCGTCTAACTATATTACGCGCGCCTTCTCTTTATTTATACCTCTTAAGCGTTTAGCGCTACTATTCTATACTTAAGTATCTAGTACTAAAGGCTTAATAGTGATACTCTAGGCTTAGAGCCAGCGTATTACTTTAGGCTTCATAGTTGTAATCTTATTATTAGTCTTAACAACTATAGGCGTAATATTATATTAATTTTAGAGGAAATTAAGAAAGTTAGTAAGTACTTTAATAATCGATTTAGCCGTTTAATTATCTTTAAGATAGAAATCTTACTAGTATCTTAAGTACTTATCTATAATTAATAACTATAATAATTCCTTATTATAGGATTATTTCTTATAAGTATAGTGTAACGGCGCAGGCAAGACTACTCGGATCAGTATCGGCAGTAGCGTCACTCAGAGGCATATGGGAGTGCGTGGGACATCAAACGAGCCTTGATTCGAATAGACACCTATAGGCCTTGTACGAAAGGATATCAAAAATCTATCGAGCTACGGTATGGAGAAGGTGGGGTTTTATATCAGCAGATCTGCCCTCGGCTAGTGCGTGCCCATGTTCGGATCCCTTTCGGATGTTAGTTCAGTGTGTACTCGAACCGTTACACTACCCCCCCCTCTATTGACAGCTAGTCCCGTAGCTGTTGAAAAATTTTCAATGTTTGTTTGTTTGTCTGTTTGCTTAATGTCGTTATTCTTCTATGCAGGGTCTCGGCCAGGCCCCGAACAGCCTCCGGGCCAAGGAGAATCCACTCAGCACGTGATATTAATCCGTTTGCTCACTGAGTATATTAACAGCACGCGTCTATACTTGCTGTCACCAAAATACTAAAAAAA